TCCTTGCTCCGGAATCACCGGATATCCTACATCTTGAAAAGGACAAATTCAAAGCCCCTGCCATTCTGTCTGGGCTGGCAACTGAAATGCTCCCCTGGCCTTGCAGTAAGAGGTGGCCTGCCTGTTCCCTATTTCACCAGGAAAGCAGATACTAACGCAGCAGAACTGTTAAGGAACCTTCTCTCCGCTCCACTGCACTGTGGGCTGCGCCAGGGGGCGCGTGCACCGGGGGGAGGTAAGGCGCGTGACCCAGAGGGGAATGTGCGTGCGCCCGAGGGGGGGCCCGTGCCACGGGGGGGTGGGTGGGCATGCGCCGGGGGGCTGCGTGTGCGCCGTGAGGGGACTTGTGCGCAGTGGGGGTCGGCGGGTGCGCCAGGGGGGCTGGGCGCGTGCGACTGGGGAGGGGGGGTGGCGAGCGCGGTGGGGGGCCTCGTGCAACGTGGGAGGAGGCGCGTGCGCCGTTGGGGGGGTCTCGTTCGCCTTGGGGGCGGGCGCGTGCTCCGCGGGGGCGGGGGAGTGCGCCGGAAGGGGGGCGTGCACTGGGGACAGGTGCCTATGCTTTGTGGGGGCCGGCACGTGTGCTGGGGGGGCGCGAGTGCCGGGGTGGGCGCGTGCACAGTAGGGGTGGGCGCATGTGCTGCGTGGGCTGGCGCGTGCGCCAGGGTTTGGGTGCGCGTGTGCCGGGGGGGAGGGAGGGGAGGGGGGGCTTGGGCGGTAGGAGTGCATGCCTCAGGGAGGCTGAGCGTGCGCTGGTGGAGGGGGGAGCGTGCGCCATGTGGTGGCTCGTGCGCTGTGGGGTCACGTGCGTTTTCCAGGGGGCTGGGCGCGTTCGCCTGGGGAGGGGCGCGCGGGCGCCCTGCGGGAGCTCCTGCGCCTTTGGTGCGGACGTGTGCGCCAGGGGAGGTTCCTGCACCTTCGGGGCTCGTGCGCCCGGGAGGGTGCCCGTGCGCCAGGGGAGGTGGGCGCGTGTGCCATGAGGGGGCTCGTTTGCCGTGGGGGCGGGCGCGTGCGCCAGGGTTGCGGGGCACGTACGCTTTGGTGGCGGGCGCGTGCGCCGGGGGGGTGGGAGCGGGATGCGTGCGCCGTGGGGGTGGGCGTGTGCGCCGGGTGGGGGCTCGTTGGCCGGGGGGGTCTCGTGGGCCATGGGTGCTAGTGCGCCATGGGGGAGCATGCGCCGGGGGGTGAGGGGTGCGTGCGCCACGGGGGCGGTCGCCTGCTCCGGGGTGGGGGAGCGCGCGCCGGGGGGCGGCTCGTGAGCCGTGGGGGCTTGTGCGCCGGTGGGGGGTTTGCGTGCGCCAGCGGTGTGGGAGTTCGTGCGCCAGGGGTGGGGGTGCGCCTGCGCTGTGGTGTACACCAAGATACACCTCTGCTTCTGATAAACACCACGCAGAAGCAATCAGCCCATGTCCCTGAACAGAAGCCCTGGACCCTTCCACCATCCTTAAGCGGAGTCACAGAGACGAGGCTTCAAGAGTGAAAATCTGTAAGGACAGTGTGCAGTCTTATTTTAGAAAACGTGAAATGAGGAAGCCTGTCGCCTCCAAAATTCTTCCTGTACTACCTTTTTGTCACTGCTGTTTTCCTGAATTCCTAAGTAGCCAGGACACAAGGTGAGTTCTGGACGGTTAACTTAACCTTCTAGTGTCTTCAGCAATTCATCATCTTTAGAATCAGTTCTGTCATCCTAGGCTGGCATTTGGTCTGTAAAAGTATTGGTGGACAACATGCTTTTTCACATCTATATTTGTTGTTGTTTTTTTTTTTTTACTTGCTGCAAAACAACTTCAAGGTGACATCAAAAGAAATAATTGTATTGGGTGAGAAGCAAAACAAGGCTAAAATTTCAACCCACTAACACAGCAAATGCAGACATTTTTCCCCACAATATTTCCTTTGGGACTTGCCATCTGAACAACACAGTAGCATCTAGAAGATTTGGATACATGTTGCGGTTGGTGGTAGTATCAAAGATAAACAAAGCCAGAAACCAAAGTGATCAGGACAGATTTTAATTAGTAACATACTATTGCAACACAGAGAATATTCCAGCGTCAACTTTGATTTGTACAGAAGTTACTGTGCCCTAGGACGGGGGCGCGTGTGCGCCTTAGGGGGTAGGCGCATGCGATGGGGGTGGGGGAACTCGTGCCCCGGGTGGAGGGCGGGTTCCCCAGAGTAGGGCGCCTGCGCAGGGGTTGGGGGCGCACCTGCGCTGTAGTGTGCACCAAGAGAAACCTCTGCTTCTGATAAACACCACGCAGAAGCAATCAGCTCAGGGGGAGGTGGGGCACGTGAGCAGGAGGGAGGGCCGCGTGCGCCCGAGTGGGGAGGCGCCTGCGCCGGGAGGGGGAGGGCACGTGTTCGCCTTGAGGGGTCTCCTGCGCTGTGGGGGCGGGCACGTGCACCAGGGGGGCTGGGCGCGTGCGCCTGAGGGGGGGGGGGCGCGTGCTCGGTGGGTAGCCTCGTGCGCATTGGGCAGAGGCGCGTGCGCGGTTGGGGGTGATCTTCGCCATGGGGCGGGCGCTTAACGGGGGGGGCACGTGCCCGTGGGGGGGGGGTGTAGTTCGTCGTGGGAGCAGGCTCGTGCGCCATGGGGACCCGTGCGCTGTGGGGGCTAGCGGGTGCGCCGATGGGGGGCTCGTTCACCGTGGGGCGCGTGCTCCGGTGGCGGGGGCCTGTGCGCTGTGGGGGCGGGCACGTGCGCTAGGGGGGGCTCGTGCTCCAGGGTCATGCGCGCACGCCGTGGGGGCGGGCGCGTCCGCCAGGGACGTGCGCATTCGCTGTAGGGGCGCGTGCAACCAGGGGTGGGCGTGCGCCGTGGGTGCAGGTGCCCCGGGGAGGCTGCCCCTGCGCCTGGGGATGGGGGCGTGTGCGCCATGCGGGCGCTCCGGTGCTGTGGGGGCGGGCGCATGGGCCAGGGGGGCTGGGATTGTGCGAATGGGGAGGGGGGAGGCCTGTGCACCGTGGGGGGCCTCATGCAAAGTGTGGGGAGGGTCGTGCGCTGTGGGGGGCGGCTAGTTCGCCGTCGGGGCGCGTGCTTTGGTGGCAGGGGCCTGTGCGCCGTCGGGGCGGGCAAGTGCGCTGGGCGAGTCTTGTGATTCATCTGGGCTCGTGCCCCGGGGGCGGCCGCGTGCGCTGAGGGGCGGGGGGCGTGCGCCCTGGGGGCGCATGCGCCAGAGTGCGGTGCGCATGCGCTGGGGAGGCTGGGCATTCGCCTGCGGGGCGGGCCTGTGCGCCTTGAGGGATCTCGAGCGCCTTGGGGGCGGGCGCGTGCGCCTGGGGAGGAGGGCGCGTGCGCCCTGAGGGAGCTCGTGCGCCTTGGGGGCGGGCGCGTGCGCCAGGGGCGCTGGGCGCGTGCACCTAGGGAGGGGGGCGCATGTGCCGTGGGGGGCGTCGTGTGCCGTGGGGGACCGTGCGTGCACCGTGTGGGGGTGTCTCCTTGGCCGGGGGGCGCGTGCGTCGTGGGGCCTGGCGCGTGCGCCGGGGAGGGAGGGGCTCGTGCGCCCTGGGGGCAGGCGCAAGCAACGAAGTGGGGCTTGTTGGCCGGGAGCCGGGGGCTTGTGCGCCAGGTGGGACTCGTGCGCCATGGGAGTGCGTGCGCTGGGGGTGGGGGGCGCGAGCCCCGGGGGGGGGAGGGTGGTCGCGTGCGCCAGGGGTGTGGGAGCTCGTGCGCCGGGTGCGGGCCGCGTGCCCATGACTGGGGGCGCCTGCGCCGGGGGTGGGGGCACGCATGCGCTGTGGTGTACACCAAGATAAACCTCTGCTTCTGATAAACACCACGCAGAAGCAATCAGCCCATGTCCCTGACAGAAGCCCTGAACACTTCCACCATCCTTAAGCGGAGTCACAGAGACGAGGCTTCAAGAGTGAAAATCTGTAATGACAGTGTGCAGTCTTATTTTAGAAAACGTGAAATGAGGAAGCCTGTCGCCTCCAAAATTCTTCCTGTACTACCTTTCTTGTCACTGCTGTTTTCCTGAATTCCTAAGTAGCCAGGACACAAGGTGAGTTCTGGACGGTTAACTTAACCTTCTAGTGTCTTCAGCAATTCATCATCTTTAGGATCAGTTCTGTCATCCTAGGCTGGCATTTTGTCTGTAAAGGTATTGGTGGACAACATGCTTTTTCACATCTATATTCGTTGTTGTTTTTTTTTTTTTACTTGCTGCAAAACAACTTCAAGGTGACATCAGAAGAAATAATTGTATTGGGTGAGAAGCAAAACAAGGCTAAAATTTCAACCCACTAATGAAGCAAATGCAGACATTTTTCCCCACAATATTTCCTTTGGGACCTGCCATCTGAACAATAGAGAGGCATCTAGAATATTTGGATACATGTTGCGGTTTGTGGTAGTATCAAAGATAAACAAAACAAAGCCAGACACTAAAGTGGTCAGGACAGATTTTAATCAGTAACATACTATTGCAACACAGAGAATATTCCAGTGTCAACTTTGATTTGTACAGAAGTGACTGGGTGTTTTTAAAGGGAAAATGAAGGAACAAGGAAGGGTGTAAGTGAAGGTTCAGTAGAGTCAGGGAAGTGAGAAATTACAAAAAGTGGAAAGTTCCTTGAGGGGCGTCAGTGTGAAACCCATCTGGGTTTCTTAACTGGTGCCTGTCAATATTTAGGTCCTCCCCTTCCACAGAACCTGGGAGAAAGGGACCCTATGTTCTGCTCTTGCCTGGAAGAAACAGTAAATTATTTTGGCAGCCTTGAGTTTTCTAACACAGTCATGTTGAAGGGGACTAAGGTCATCCTTGGGAGGAGACTCTGAGCTGTTAGAAACTATTTTAGTATTTGATCACATCTTCATTGACCAAGTTCGAGGCTTAAGTGAGAAGAGGGCTCAGAGGAGACTAGCTAGAGTTTGGTCAAGAAGAGCATCTTTATCAGCAGACCACAAGGATTCAGTCGTATGTGATGCCAATCACAAGCCCACACGATAGAGCAGAGGGGATCTCTTAGGCCAAGACGCATGGAACTGCCTCTGTGGGATGGGAGAGCAGTGCCTGAGCCACCCAGAGTGTGGACGCTTTCTTTCCTCTCAGTTCTGTCTACTCATGCACACAAAACAAAGTTCTGTTCTGGTGAGAGTGAACCGGCAAGACAACTTTGACAGGGAGCAAGAATTTAGAAAACAGTGGACAGCCTGCAGAATGTCTATTGGAGAAGGCCAGATGCCCCTTCCTCTTTGCCCTGCTGTCGTGAGGACAGCTTGTGTATGGTTTACATTAATATATGCCCTTATAGCACTCAGGGACTTTGCTCTACCCTCCTGGAAAACTCCCAGTTACTGTCCCCACTGCCAGTCTTGGAGAGGATAGGGTCAAGAGCTATCGGTCAAGAGCTAACACATGATTTGTGAAAGAAATTGGAGTGTCATTGCCCTAAGTAAACAGTGAATTATGCACATGTATGTGATGATGATGTCAGAGAAAGTAACTTAATGATCTGAGTGGTAATTTGATATTCTGGTGTTGGTAATAGACTAAAGGCAAATGCCTCTGGCAACATCAGATAACCCTTCATTTTTATCTTTTCAAAGCTGATGCAGATGACCAGATGATTATTTTCTTTTAGTGTTTTGGAATTGAAAATTAAGAGCTTTCTCAGCATTCAACCTTCCTTATATTTCCTGCTCACGGTGCACTCTTTGAACACGCTGCTTGGGATTATGCTGGCTAGTATTTGGGGCTTTCCCTTTCATGTCACAGGCAACATCTGCAGCGTAGGTGCCAATAATCTGTCTGAGAGATGCATGGAGAAGCAGGCAAATGTGTTCACAAATGTGTTCCTCATGCAAGCCAAGGAACTCAGAAGGACAAGTGAGTGGCGGGCTCGGCAGGGAGGGTGGGCAACTGGCTGACTCCTCTGCTTCAAGTGCAGAGGGCCTCGCCCTCATCCTGCAAGATGCAGAGTCCTGGGCTCCTGCCGTGGCCCCTGGCCCCTGGCCCCTGGCCCCTGCCCTTCCCCCGCCGCCCGCCTGGGGAAACCGAGGCCCCGCCCCTCGTTTCTGATCCCGCCTCCTTATCGCCATCAGCCCCTCCCCTCCCATAACCCTCTTCTCCCGCCCCTACAGCCCTAGCTCCGCCTCCATAGTGTTCCTGCGCACTAGAAATCATCTGCTCTTGAGGGCGGGGCCTGTGCAGCGACAGTAGGGTTCCCGGCCCCGCCCACCCCTGGCCTTGGCCCGCCTCCGTGGAAAGCCATTCCGGTGAGGCTTGGCATGTCAATGAAGATCAGAATGGCAGTGGGATTTCATGGTGTTTGGCAGTGGGATTTCATGGTGTTGGCAGTCTAAATGCAAATGCATCAGGAAAAATCATACCCACTGACCTGAAATAGGGCCAATGGGAGATGGCTTCCAGTCTTATGTGAGACTCATTCTGTAGCAGGAGAGGAAAATCAAAGGGATATAAAGTTCCAGGTGCAATTAGAGGAAAAGAGAAGTGATCTGAGCTCGGCATCCTGATGAACCTCTCGGGCAGGAAATGAGACACTGAAGCTTGGTGCCCTCTAGACTGAATGGTAAGAACAGAATTGCTGCAACCTTCAGCCCAAGATCTTTATGAAGTGCCAGGAAGAGCAAGGCATCCAGACACCCTGAAGATCTATAGGCAGAAGAGTCTGCCAGTCTTACTTTCCTTTCCTCTGGGGGTGGGCGGGGGTTTACTGACCACAGTAAGGCTATTTGCTGGAAAAATGGATTTTTTTAAAATATTAATTAATTTGGCTGCACTGGGGCTTAGTTGTGGCATGTGGCATCTAGTTTCCCAACCAGGGATCGAACTTGGGCCCTCTGCATTGAAAGCATGGAGTTTCAGCCACTGGACCACCAGGGAAGTTCCTGCTGAAATGTTTAAACCATGGTAAGCCATACACGTAAGACATGCCATTTTAGTTAATTGCATGCCGAATTCCAGTTACAACTGGAAAGTGTATTGATATGTTTATAAAGAATAAACAATGCCAAAAAATTCTACCCACTTAGCTGATGTAATTCTACTATTTCAAAGTCTTTAGAAGACCTGGTGGTGTGGTGTAATAAAAGATGTCTCAGGCACAAGGGACCGAGATTGTCATGCAGGCTTCAGTAGGAATCAACTGTGTGCTGGCTGCTTCTAGTTCGGTCCTACTGACTTCTGAGCTAATCTTCTATAAAACCATGCTGGTCACCATACCTCTCCTTGCCCTTGGGAGTATCAGAAGATTTCTCCAAGATCCCCAAATATGCATTCATGGCTTTCATGAAGTGGCTAAAAGGATCACTTCTCATAGGGAGGCATTAGATTACCTGCTACCTTTAGGGGATCGGGCTCCCCAGGTGGCTCGGATGGTAAAGAAACTGCCTGTAATGCAGGAGGCCAGGGTTCGATCCCTGGGGTGGGAAGATCCCCTGGAGAAGGGAATGGCAACCCACTCCAGTATTCTTGCCTGGAGAATCCCATGGACAGAGGAGCCTGGCGGGCTACAGTCCTTGGGGTCACACAGAGTCCCACATGACTGAGTGACTAGCATTAAGGGGAATAGTTCCCTAGACAAAGGGGTGAGCTTAACAGATCGGGGAACTTTCACCAAGGCCTGGAGACCCCATCCCCTTGCCACCTGCTCCTGTTCTTAATGCATCAGACTAAAGAGCTTAGAGCTCCACCCTGGTTCAGGTGACAAGGCACATGAAAGAGCCATAGCTTCCTTGATCATACTGGTCTTCATTCTGAATAATAAAAACATACAAGTGAGATATTCTGAAGCAAATGAATTTTATTGGAAGAACACAGGTATTTAACAAAGGACAAGAAACTTAAGCAAGGAGTACATTTTAAAGACACAGAAATTAGTCTAGCTCAGGGTAACTCAGCAGTATCTCCTTCTTTTTTTTTTTTCTTTTTAGCCATGCCATGCAGCATGTGGGATCTTAGTTCCCCCACCAGGGATTGAACCCACTCCCCCCTATATTGGAAGCACGGAGTCTTAACTACTGGACAGCTGGGGAAGTCCCAACAGTATGTCTTTTCATATTATCTGCACTGAAAGGTTACCAGTTAATCTTTGCAGGCTCTCTCTCATTCTCGTGGGTCTAGTCCCAAACCTGGCTCAATTAGGATAAGTTGAAAAGACTACGAAACCAAGAAGCTACGGCCAGCAAACTCAGTGACACAGAAAACAGAAGGCAGTGGGAAGGTCTCAGACAAAGGAGGCCTGCTAGAGAGACCAATGAGCATGAGACAGTGCCTTCCATCCTGTGGAATACAAATACAGCACACACGCACTTTGACATGCCCCCATGGGTACAAAATTTTTAAACATTTCTTGAGGAGGCATAAAAGCACGTATGATACAAAATGAAAACAACCCAAAGTCCAAGCCATTCCCAAAGGCACAATACCTCAAAGTCAATTTCTGGTCAAGTGACAACTCGCTGATGTCACAGGGCCACTCCTTGAGCCAAAGTTCTCCGCATGAAGTTGACGACTTCTGTAGAACTGCTGTGATTCTATGAAATTCAAAATCCTACGGACTCAAGGTTAACCTTATACACCACTGATGCAAATGCTATGCATACATAGAGAAACCAAGGCAAAACCATCATATAGAAGCTGTAAATGGCATTAACCATTTCCCCAAGGAGAAATTTTCTTCCCTCTCAGTTCTAAAATCCAAAATCACTTGGAGTGAAGCGACACTCATTTGTGATCATGGAAGGGTATTTTTAGTTTTAATTTTTTTAACCCCTTTATTGAGGTATGAGCAATGACTGACACTCAAAAAGAGGTACACATCTAATGTATATAATCAAATGTGTCTGGAGATAAGTATACATCCATAAGGCATCTCCATAATCTATACCATAAACACACCCATGCACTCTGAAGTTTCATTCCACCTTCATAATTTATTATTATTAGTATTTGGTAATAGAAACATGAGAGAACAAGATCTATCCTCTTAGCCTTTTCAGGACACATCAGTTCCAGGGCCTGGAGGAGATGCACAGGTGCTTGACAACCTACTAGAGGAAAATCTACAACAGGCCTTTCAGCATTCTGGAAGGTGCTTTGTCTGACTGATGGGGAGAGGCTGGGTAAACCAGGGAATCTCCTTAGGATTCACTGAGGTGGGTCCAATTTGCTCTTTTCCAAAGCTGATAAGAAGTACTACAGTAGGCTTGCACATGAATAAGGAGAAGTGAAGGAAGCTCAGAAAACCAACCCAAATCGAAACTCTGAGGTGGCCTGGCTGTGACACTCAATAACCCATTTTGGGTTCATGCTGGAGTCAGCATAGTGGACTGGGAGAGCAAACTCAAATTCAGAGGGATGAAGAGACCATTCAAATTGTACAGGAATGCACGTATTTGGCTCATTCTGGCCACTCTTTTTGACAGAGCTGCACACTAAAATTCCATAAGTAAAACTCTGCTGCATCTGAGTCCTTGCCTCCTCCCAAGTATTCTAGCAGGTCCTGTGCACCACAAGACACAACAATTAGACGTCTGCCAATTGGAGATCAAATCTCTGCTCCTTCAGAGTGCTTGAGAAAGGGACGGTGAGAGATGAAGTTCAGCTCCGCTTGCCAAGAGACTGTTGATGTCAGCAGAGTGACTTAAACCATCTCTAAACAAGGTTTGTAGTTTTAATCCTCATCTCCAGTGATCCTATTGATCGCAGAGAAGTCGCCATGAGGACATATGTATGGGTAAAAAGCTCCCAGAGGACAAGCAGTCACTCATACTTTTTACTTGTCCTTCAGGCGCTGTTTCTTGTTTCACAAGTTACTCTTCAGGAATTATTCTGCCCAGGTCTGGCTAAGACCAGAACTTTCAGTCAGCACTTGGAAGGATGGTGAAGATACCCAGGGGACCTGGTAGCTCACGGGGAGCACATTGTAAGGGACACTCAAATAAGGAAAATTAAATTGCTCATGCTGAAAAGGGACGAGGACTTCTTTCTCACTTTTCCTCAAAAACTCTGGAGTGTGGTCAGTTCTTTGTCTGTCTCTGCTAAATCACTTCAGTTGTGTCTGACTCTATGCGACCCCACAGATGGTAGCCCAGCAGGCTCCTCTGTCCCTGTGATTCTCCAGGCAATAGGCTGCCATTTCTGACTCTCTGTAATGTATGCAAATCTTTTCTGTAAGTTAAATAAGCCTCTTGGAAAGTTGAGAAACCAAGAGGGTTCCTTCAGGGACCTGGCAGCAAAAGCAGGGACCAAGAGCCCATAAAGCTACAGCAAAAGGACAGAAAATATCACCGGGAGAAAAAAAAAAAAATAGTGTAAGCAACAGCAGTTCCTTCTCAGAACTCCCTTAGATTATAAACTGTGCA